TTATCTTTGGCGGTCATCCCGTTTTCCTCTTTCTCTACGCTCCTCCGTGAGAGTAAGGAAGGTCACGCGTACGGTTTTAATGGAGATTAAGTAACTCGGCTGCTAACAAGGCGAGGCGTTTGGAAACGAATTCGCCTGAGCGTTAATGAAACACATGTGGCGCAAAAAATAGGGTAGAATCGGGCGACGATACGCGGTCCGAGTGTGTGTCAACCTTTTTTTTGCTGCAAATACTCATGCAGCGACTCGAGGGACAAGTTTAAAAGTGGCTGAAACTTCCGAGATATTGGAGCGCTTATCTTCTTATAATGAGAAGGGTAACGTTTTCAATGCCTCAATGAAATCCGGCGAAATGTTTATATTTAGCCATTTACGAAAAGGATAATTTGTTCGTATGTGCATAATAAGTTGCATAATCGGAAGTAATCGTGGTCATTATATAAATTAAACCGATAATGTACAATCGTAACGCGCCCAACAATGTTATTCGAAACGATTATACAAATGTATACGAATTACAACGTGAAATATCTTCTTTTATATTGTTTTCACCATGTACGAATTGGATTAACGCATCTCTTTGAATGTCGTTCGAAAGTTAGTGTACCGAAACGGAAAATTCATTTTTTATTTTTAAATAATCGCGGCTTTCTTCTTGACAAGTACGATATTACAGAAGAAAAATATTGCTGGGAAGTTTCATTTCGAATTTTTCTGCGAAAACATCTCCAAAGTAATACGGAATTCAATTATTCCGATTAATAATGTTTTTAATATCTACTCGGTAACAGCGAATATTATCTTTGGAGTTCCGATAAAATGACTAAACACGTTCATTTCGCCGTGTTAGTCCGATTCTACGGATAAGAGCTGTGATTCACGTAAAACTTTGGAATCAGCGATTAGAAAATGATGCAAGTTCCACAATAGATGAAGATAGATACTGAGATCTATTCAGATTCCTTGGAACTCACAATTAGTAAAATGCGTCAAAGGCAATGAATTACAGTGGAAAATAGTGAACCAAGTCGATTTAGTTTCATTTGGTGAGTGTAACATTAGCAAAAGAATCGGAAGAAATTGAGAAAAATGGATTGCAATTCTCTCGATAGGATATATGTGCTAAAAATAGACCGCTGTTCTTCGGACATTACCTACTTTCGAAGCTGGTAGGTACAATACAAAAATTTAATATGCCTCAGACGTTTTTGTATTTGCACGATCAATTTTAATATCTTCGCGCAACACGTCCGTTGTCCCTATTCCTTTTTTTTCCTTTGTAAAGTTAAATTCACACGTGGCCCGACTACGAAACAGTCATGCGAACAACCGATTCTGCTTTCTTCGAATAATAAATACGGTCTTCCTTACCTTCGTGCTTTAAAATCACGACGGATAGTTGTCACACGTAGATAAAGCGCGCAAAACTATTAACCCTGGTACCGCTATGAGATATAACTTTCGATAAAGATACTCGCGCCGGAGATGCTTTGTAGGAGCGCACATCACGGGAAGAGGTTTCGAACCGAATGATGCAACTTCTTATACAATCTTCGCATCTTCCCTACGATCTTGCGCCCTCTTTCCTCGAGGCCCTTTAACAGTATCTTAATCTAGAGATAACATTAGGGAAACCATAAGCTGCGATAAGAAAATGTGCAGTGTCGTGTAAAAGCGATTAAAGGAACGAAAACTTTTACACTTCTCTCGTCGTTCCATCCTCTTTTTTCCTTCAGAGAAGATATTAATAATGCGTCCATTGTTGAAGCGATGACCGGTAAGTGATACTTCAAAAGATATATGTATATGTATATTTTTTAAAAAATTATCCTATTTCTAAACGGTAGCATTTACAATTACGAAGTACAATTGATATGTACAACTGTACATATTGGTTTGGTGCTGATAAGCGTACATGTGAATACTCTAATTCTCCATAGTCGATACGTGACGATGATTCTGTCGCGTGGAAAAGCGTACGAAAAATTCGCGACGCCAAGCCGAACCGGAAAAATCGGCGAAAAACCCGCCTGGAAACCGCAAATGTGGAACCGCCCTAATAGCAAAACACTTCACCGGGCAAACTGTTAAGTCATGATCTCTGAGTCACACAAAAATTGCTGAATATTCGTTTTTCATCGGCCGTATCTATCATACATGATATCGAACGATATAAATGTATATACCGATGCGTAGGATCACCGGTAAACACTGGACTCACCGTTCCTCCTCGGGTTTTCTCTCGGACGTGGAAACGAAAGCCGGCGTTCACTATTAATCGTCAGTTTGGCAGCAGCGAATAAAAATACTGACTGAGCGTCGAGGAACAGTTATTGACACGTTTATATATTTCGAATGTGGCGACCGGCGCCCTCGCTTATTCCGGATTGGACGACATAGCGAGGAGTAGGGCAATAAAAACCACACCAAACAATTGAATTCATTATACGCGCGTCTCGTTTGTGCACACGTAATAGTCGCACCCAATTTACTTCCACCCTCATCTATGCCCATCGATTTTTACTTCGAAAGGACTGCCAACGATAATTACTTTTATTGAAACTGATCGTACCAGGAAGGAGCCGGCCGCAATTACCCCCAACCAGTGTCTTCTCCGTTAGATCCCACCAATATTCGACTGTCCAAATTTTCGTGGGTGCCCCCCGCTTCTCCCCTTTTCTTCTCCCAATTTGTCGGGGTGTATTACTGACACGCAAAACAACTAGCAACGAGCGGAATGTAATTGCCTGATAAACAACAAATTGGTGAAATAATGTGATAAATTCAATTTGCCCAATTACAGGCGATACTAATGATTTATCGGCATTCAAACCGATTGCGACGTAGGATCTTTTTGTGGTACCTTTCCAGAGTAGCAAAGTACTTTATTCTCTTTTTGAATCGGTTTAATAGTTGTTTTCTTTAATGATTAGTGATAATGACTTTAGTTGTTAAGATTTGCAAGAATGAAGCGCATCCTACGAAAAAATGTTCTCCATATTTAAACAAGATTGTATCTAATTCGTTAGAGGTTTGATGAATGATATGTAATTTGTTGAAACATTCGTCATTGGTTAAAGTATACTTACGATGATAAAGTTGTTTTTAAATTTCTCAGTTTCTTTTTTTTTAAGAGGGTACATCGTTTTTATTTTAAGTCCATAGTGTAGTAAGAATGGTGTGCAGATAAGAAATCTTTAAACTATTTTTGTAATTCTGATTACAATTTTCTTTAGTTTTCCGAAGAACGTTTAAAAAACGCAAGAAAATACTACACTTATATTCTTAACAACCTGATAGCGGTCATGATACCAAAAGTGAGTTATAATTTCTTCTAAATGAGACGCATCGTTGAAACAGTTTTATAAATTATTAGTGTTAGAGATCGACTTTTGAAACTGAGCTAAAATTTGAAAAAATTCAAATAAAATTATTTTACGACTTTCTATAATAAACGTTTTCTGAATATCTAATACTTACAGGTGTAAGTATGTAAAACACAATGAATTCAAAGTAGTCAATAAGCAATGTGTATAATAGAATTTTTTTTTAATAAAAGACTGTCAAATAAAACACAAAAATATATGCGAAAATTTAGAACACAGGATATTGTTATTGTTTGTCCAAATATTCTCCTAATACAATACATACAAAACGCTTCTTCTGTATAAGATAAAAATTAAATTGAACACAGAGTTTCCAATCTTCGACTATTATTTTCACTGGATACATATATATTCGGTTGATTTGGTTACCTGCTGAGATAATTTAAATTCGCGAGTTACAATCAGTGGATATTTTATCGTGCAGAATAATTGGCGAAAACTGGCGCAATTCGAAATATGTTCAATGTAATTCTAGCTTGAAAAAAACATAAAACACAAATATTTATATAGGTAATATATAATAACTTTATTTTTAAGTAAGTCGTGTTTCAAAATGGTAATTCATACAATATGGTCGTATAGTATACTTCTGTAATAATGTAAATGATGTTAGAAAAAAAATAGCTACTTTTTATTTAAAATTGATTTGTGTGAAATTGCTTGAATAAGTTTAGCTGTATTAAGGATGTTTTCCTCTAGATTTTTAAAATTTGTTTCCGCTTCTGTCGCACCTTTTAATACATCCTGCAAATTCTAAAAAATGAAACAAAATCTATTATAGCAGCTTATATATTAAAAAATACAATGATACATTATTTTATTATATACAAAGTATGTATTACAATATAGAAAATTTGTTTGATTCATAAACATAACCTCTAACCATTTTCACATTTTGATAAAGTAGCATAGTCTTTTCTTCATGATATTTATCATTATTTTCATGAAAGGATGAACGTGATGACGATGAGTCATCCATGATCAGTCAAGTGTTTTGTTATTATTTAATAATATAATTTCTTTTATCTTGTACCTCCGTACAACGATACCGCCAACCTCTATTTACATTGATTCACATACGCATTACATGTAATCTCATATTCATTAATTAACGAAATGATAGAGTGTAAGATATACGAGAAGGAATATTAACATGACATGTAAACAAACCTTAAATATCTTTTGTTTTGACCACAGACGAGGTATAAGAATAGACTTAACAAGCAATGTAAAATTTTGTCATACAGTCTCGGGGGTCTTAAGACCCTCTTACCATTTTCGTGTTATGCCCTGTCATATTGACTTTGACTGATTTTGCACGACAGCACTCTAAGTAATAGGAATTAGAATAAAAAATATTTACCACAGACTTAAGATACGTACTACAGACATTGCAGTTTATGGGAATTTTGTCTAGGGTTTGGGGGTCTCGAGACCCCTATACCATTTCGGTATATTTTACCGATAATACAAAATTTTAGGCTTGTTAGTAGAAATCAAATTAACTGTACACTTCATTTCTGCTACGAGTGTTTTAAAAAAATTCACAACAACAAATGTATGCGGTGGGGATATTTGGACGGTGGAAATAGTATTTGAATGGAAATAGAACTGAAATAAAATATTATAAAAAATAATTTCCATTGATTCGTGAACATAAATCTTCTTATACATGGATTTATCCTATAAATTATCATACAACGTAATAATTTATATATTTATACGTGAAATTATTTTTATTAATTATGTAGTTTTATAAATGACCAAAAAGATTATACTTCAATAATCTTTTATTCTTTTATTTATGTAACACTAGATCGATATTCCAATATTCTGCAAGATGATTCTTATGTGATTAATAGATCAGTCTACCTGTTTACCTTTTCTTTTCTTCAGTATTTAAGGGATCTAGCTTAAAGGAGTGGAGGAAAGAGAGTATGATAAAACTGGATGCTGCAGTGATCTGTTTGGCGAAGCTATCGTTCTAGGGCACATCTAGTTGGATCCTGTAGTTCATTATGTCGAGATGTCATCATTCCTCTCCCTTAATTTTGGAAAAGAGGAATATTTTTACCGGATGCGTAAACTTGATAGGCGATCGTCTCCAAAAGGAAAGCCGTGTGGATACATAAATTATGTATTGGTAAACTCTAAAAGGGACACAGTGTAATGATGAAGGAAAAGAGCAGTTTTCTGGGTACAGAATTTTGATGTGCAGACATTCCTGAAAGGTCTGTTATGTAGGGCTAACGGAAAAGGTGAATGTTTGGAATACCTGGCTTCGAAAGAACTACCTCTAGTCGTCCCGTGGAATAATTAATAACTCATATTTTGATTTTAATTACGATCTAGTATTTGAATTTTGACGTTTCACTTTTCATGTTGCAGTCTTATATAGTTCAGTAGTTGACCGCTCGATTCAGGTAGAGTCCGCTAATGCATCGGGGCATTCTTGACAGTGTCGGTATTTCAGAACAGTAGACAGAAAAATATATTATATACACAGTCTGTACATAACTTAAGTCTGTGTTAATTGTTATGTAGTTTCAAGTAATTTTGGAAGAGTGCACTACGAATCATATATGCATGTTCTGTATTGACTTAGCTTTCTATAAAGTGATTAGTTTAAATTGTTATCATGGTTATCATGAAAATTTTGAAAAATGCTTAAGTAGCTTTTAAAAATGACGTATATATGTAAAAATGCAGAGTAGATGTTTAACAAATATTTTATTATGGAAGTGCAAACAGATACTTCTGTTCTGCGACCACCAGTTAATTTGAGAAATTCAGGGAATGTATTTTATACACCATTAACCTCATTTGCTGGTATGTAGATATTTACCAAAATAATATTTATGATTATAAAAGCAATTCTCTTTAGTGAATCGGACTATGTAAGTTTTGTAAATATTTTATGTTCATTACAACTGAATCCAATAATTTGAACCTTTTATAAAGATTCCTTACAATTTAAAATTGTTGCAGAAATGTGGTATCAAATATTTTTATGGGCCTTATTTTCCTCTGTTTTTGTTCATACTATTGCTGGTGCAATCTGTTTTGCTACGTTAAGGCAACATAAATATGGAAAGTACGTAAGGTCTTACAATAACATACATCTAAATTTTAAATACTATTAAATAAAAGAAAAAATATTATTTAAAAAGTTCTTGCTAATTACTGAATACAAGGTTTAGTAGGTATATAGTAACAAATAATTTTTGTTTTGAAGATTTTTCCCATTACTAATCATAATAATGGGAGTATTATTGCCATTGACATCAGGAGTTCTTAGTTCTGCGGCTGTTGCTTTTGTATATAGAGCATCACGTTATCCACTGCCACCATTGAATGCATTATTTTGGGGTATCGGACAAACTATTGTAGCAGGATGTGTTGGATTTACAAGAATTCTAGCAACTTTATAATGAAAAAAATTATGTACAAGATGTGTTAGTAAAAGATATATGTAATGCACAATAGCATTTTATAAAAGAATCAATTGAACACTATTTTACCAGTATTAATTAATGTTACTAATACATATTAATATATAGGAAAAGTTGTACATGCATGGGTATATAATGCACATATTTAATGATGAAGTCTTAAAATTACATATGTATTATTAAATTTTTAAATTAGTCAGAAAATAAAATGTTAGTATTTGTTATCAATATAAGATGTATATTTATTTCTAAATTTAATTTATTGCTTGTTTTACATTTCAAAAAATAAAATGTCATTTTAGTAGAATTTATTGCAAAATACAAATTTTTGAAATATATTTTTATATAAAACAACAACATTTATATTTATATACAAGTTTTTATATATTTATTCTTGTGATTTTTCAGTTTTTATGTGTTGCTTAAATTCGTTCGCAATAGTTTTAATCTCTATCAAACCAGCCTCTAAATTTTTGTTAACCTCAAGTTTTGTATCATCATCTGTAGAAGTTAAGCTTTTTAAAACCAAATCTGTAAAATAAATAATAATGTAGTAAAATTCTTATAATGTGTGTAGGCCACAGAATACAGTTTAAATATTCTAATTTATAAAATTCTACTAATTATTAATAATAAATTAAATTACAAGTCACTTTTTTTAGTAGTCAAAGTTATTTGATTTGAAACCACTTCATTTTTTCAAAATATATTTTAATAAGTTTAATTAATGGAACTTTGTAATTATTAAATATTTTATACCATGATATTTAGATAATACGGCGGCCGTTGAAGATTGTAAGTGTACTTGAAGAAATGAAAGAACTGTTGACACATGTCGCCCAGACATGTATAAAGCATTTTGTGTTGCTGCAGTAAATAATATGCTTGTGACTAGATGCAATGCCAAAGCAGGATCTTGAGTAGTATTCAGTTCTTCCAGTAAAGCTTCCCTGTGCCCTAATATAAATGGTCGTTCCTTCTTTTTGTCAAATTTTTTTAATACTAAACAACAAGATGCCATTGCAGCATCTGCAACATTTAAAAAATCATCTATGGAAGTTCCAGCAACTGATTTATGTATATTAGTCAAAGGCTCTTTAACATCGTTAGGCAAATCCAGCAACATTTTTTGTCTTGCTTCAGTAGTAATATTGCTAGGAATTTGTAGCATATTTTGTTGTGCAGCTAATTTAAATAACTCTGTTAAGAAATCTGTACCAAGAGATTTTAATAAATATTTTGTTAAAGCAGGTTGATCTGTTTTGTCCAAATATTTAATGCCTTTTTCAAATATTTTAATATTTGTTATTAACACATTAAGATGTTCTTCAATTTCACTTAAATTAGTAGTTTTATTGTTCTGTGCTAATGATTCTGCCACTGATAATGCATGGCTATTTACTCTTGGTTGTAAATACAATGCCAACTCTTCTATTAATTCATCGATTACTGCTAAATTATCATCTTTTGAAATTTCATTCTGTACATCTTCCAAGGACACTAGCTGCAGTTCTATCTTTCCTGATGTCATTTTTGGATGTTCATCGTCAGAATCATTGTCACGAACTTTGCCTTGTAAATATTTCTTTTTAGTAGATTTTGTTTTTGTTTCTCTTCCTTGACTACCACCACCTGCTTTACCACTTGTTGCTTTCTTTCGACGCTCTTCCTTCTTATTTCCTTTGCTTTCAATAATGAGGTCCACTGATTTAGATTTTATCCTGTTTTCTGCTACAGTTTGAAACCATTGACCACTAGCAACTGCTTCCTTAGCTTTTGTATCAGCCATGGTTTCAAAAGATTTGTATAGCGATTGCAAAAATGTATCAGTTATTACTACAGTGTTTGCAAATACATGTGTATTGTTATTTAATTTTTTTTCTGCTAATTTAAGAAGCATTTCCATATCTTTATCAGTAAATACAGAAGGGAGAAGGGGGCTTATATCTACAAAAGATCCGCTTGCAACAGCGTCTTCAATATTTGCATATACTTGGTCGTTAATGGTTGAACCCACAGCAACAGAATCCAATAATATTATATCTTCATTTGGAAAATGACGTTTCACAAAGTTTGGTGGATCTGATATGCCAAGACGATTAAGTGCATCATATTCTAATAACAGAAAATTAAGAAAAGAAAACATTGTAAATGAAATTATATTGTTGTTAAATTCCTAATATCATTTTATAATAAAATACAAACCTAAGTAACCATTTTGTTTGTAAAAGTTTTCCACCCACTCATTTTGACTTTTAGAATATATAGTTGGTACATAAAAACTCTTAGTTCCCTGTTTTCCTGCTATAACCCCAGGAATTTGTTTCATTTCCTGTAGATTATCCAGAATTGCTGTGAATTACGAAAACATATATAAACATGATAAATAATTCAACATATATGATTAACTTACATTTTGCACTTACAAAAAAATATTCTTTCTGAAACAGAACACTGTGCTAAAACTATCGATAATGGTGTAGGCTTAGTAATAGCAGATAAGGCCCCTCTTATTTTAGCTCTATTTCTAGCTATAAAACTTTCTGTATAAAAGACTCTAAAATCTTGTGTATCCTGTTTACCAAATATTGTTTTCCCCAATTCCTTTTCAATAAGAGATTGTAAAAATTCAGCAGGTAAATCATATTGTATTGTTAATTCAGAGACATTAACGCTGCCAAGTTGCATTAATTTATCATTGATTTCCTCAGAAATTTTGTTCATATAAACTTTATCAATAAGTTGTCCAAGTATCAATTTAAATCCTTTATTAGTTTTTTCTATCTCACTTGTCACTTTGGACACATGAGATAAATTCACATTAAGAATTTGTGCTAAATCAACCAAACTAATCCTTCCACCATGAATGTACAATTCATCTTTGATTTCCTTTCCAAGATGCTGAGGTGTTACATATTCTTTACCATCATTAGTAAATATTACATCTAATAGTTTAGTCTCTATTAATTTTGTTACAATTTCCACACAATTCCGCTCTGATAATCTATAGAATTAAAAAGAAATATATAAATATTTCCATCGAGGAAAGTTATTACAATATGCATAGAAAAAGGAAATTGTGTTAAAAGATTGTTCAATATATAACAGTTATTAATGAATTTCATTTACTTTGTGTCAAATGAACTGTGATTTAGTTTTACAGCTGTATAAAGTGCATCAGATGTTAATATTTTTATTTATAGGAAAATATTAAATAAGTAAGATATTTGTTGTTAAGGTAAACCGTACTTTTGCAAAGTGGAACTTAATTGTGCTTTTTGAAAATCAGCAGCTAATCTTTTAACTTCGTCCCAATCTAGCGAACTCATTTTAAAATCTTTATATTTTGACTGCCAGATTGTACAATCAAGACACTTGTCTACTTGTCACCGATAAACTTAAAATTCATAGGTTACTACGACTAAGTAACTTGTATATTAAAAGTTAAACGTTTGTAGCGCCAGTAGTAGTATATTCTGTAACTAAACATAAAGGTGGCAAGTACATCCACAGATATTCATCCTGAAGTTAACTCCCAACTTGAAATTCAGAATCATCAACAAAAATAAAATTTTTACCCTATGTAAATAGTGTTAGGGATATTTAACGACATTCAATTTTTTGAAAACGTTTAAATGGCTGTGTCTTACACGTGTTTTGAAATATATTATTATTTGTGTGTTACGTGTAGAATTATTTAACATGAATAGTAAAATCTGATATTTTTACTGTGTTAAAAAAGGTTTCCTATTGACCATAGACTGAAATACAAATATTATAAAGTGATATTTAAGGTTATATATGTGTCATATATAGGTTATAAATGGGTACGTGTTACTTTATCGATTAAATTTTCTATTCTGACAGCTACATAAACATTTCATTACTTCTTTGTAATCATTCACTCTTTAATAATATTTAAACAGTGAAATTAAGTTCATATAGTATCAATTTTTGTGATAAAAAATGATTAAAATAAGTGGTCTGTGATTTAACTCTTTATAATGGCTTATGAAATTTATACCATTGTTAAATTATTGTGTAATAATGTAGTGAAATTATAGAAGAATAAAATATCTTAACAGTAATGAGATAAAAAGGCAATGTGGGCTCAATAAACATGTTTTTATTACTGTTAATTCAATACGCAAGCTGTACGATTAATTATGTTTATACTTTGTATTGATCATTGTGTAAATCTTTTACAATTTCTTACTTTATTGTATACAGTTTACAAAATTAATGACTTTGTATTAATGAACAGGTGCATTATAAATATGAAAAAACATAATCCAGAACATGTAAAAAAATATGGAATTACAGAAAATTGAACTCATTAGTTACATTATATTATCATCACATTAACATCATTAAATGTAAAAGCATTAACACTTCGGGTTCATAAAATGTAATAAACTATCATTAAA